TTGCAAAAAAGAGCACAATTGAGCGGACACTACTTTTTTCAAGTATTTTGGACATAAATGGAAGATTTGAAAATGGTCTGTAATTTGCCAAGTTATTTGGATCTAATTGCGGTTTCTTAATGAGCGGTTTTATTACAGCCAGCTTGTATATTTTGGGACATGACCTAAGAGATAAAGACGAGTTAATAATATTGAGGAGAGGCTCTTCCACTACAGGTAATAGTTCTTTCAGTAGTTTAGTGGGTATTGGATCTAAAAACATGTTGTTGGTTTAGATGCAATGATAAGTTTATTTAGCTCCTCCTGTCCTATCGTTGTAAAAGCGGTGTAGTTGTTCTAGAGGGCTCCATAATTGAAGCTGAATCATAAGACACCATAGCAGATTGTACATTTATAATTTTGTTTCGGATGCTTTCTATTTTCGCATTGAAGTAAATTCATAAAATCATTACTACTAAACTGTAACGGTATATTTTGCTCTTGGTGATGTCTGTTTATTTGTTAGTCTAGCCACGGTGTTAAATAAAAACCTTGGATTATTTTGGTTATTTTCGATTAGTTTGCGGAGATGCTCAGCCCTTGCTGTTTTTAGGGCCTTTTTATAACGTGACATACTGTCTTTCCACGCGATTCTAAAGACCTCTAAATTAGTTTGTTTCCATTTACGCTCTAAGTTGCGAGTTTCTCTCTTGATAGCGTGCGTAGCACTGTTGTACCATGGTGCTTTAATTTTCTCTCGAACCTTTTTTAATCTAATTGGCGCAACAATATCTAATGTACTAGTAAGAATGGTGCTTAAACTGCTAGTCATTTCCTCTAATTCATCTGTTTGTTTAACGTTACTAACCACTGATTTGTGAGCATCGCCGCGTGATGCTTCAAGCGTTGAGCGCCGATCCAACAGCTCGGCCGATCCAACAGCATACCACGGATCTGTTTCTCTACGTATTCCAACTCCTGCTTCACCGTGAAGAGCTCGAATGTGTCTTCACCTGCACTCAGAGGTAATGTTAGACACGCATCTGATATATTCGCCATTATAACAGATGAACAGTAAATTAGTAGTGATACTACAACTATCACTACTAATTTAGGACTAAAATGCCGGAATAACCAGGTTTCAGTGAAACGGGTGTAAAATGAGACGGCCAATAGGCGAGAGGCCACGCGTGATATGCTAGCGGGCTAAAGGCTAGTAGCCGGGATTCGGAAGGTTGGATATAAGTAGCGATATCAAAGCAATCCAATTGTTTTTTATAAGGAATAGTATCGAGGACAAGTTCACATGATATAAAAATAGAAAGTGCTTGTTTATAAATAAGTGGTAAAGAAGAAAATCAAGGATTGGTGAAGAAATTCTCCGGAGCTACAAACACAAACACCGATCGCACCCTATAGTATGAAGTATATATGAAACGATGAGATCTACATGTGTACCGAGTTTCATATTATTACATGCAAGCGTGTTTGATTTATGGACCAAGTTTTCGGACCCCATTCAAGGGTACCAGCCCGGCCCTGATGGCCGCGGGTTCTGAACCGTGTGCAAAGTTTCAAGAGTTTTCGAGCACGTTAAGGGCCCCAAAAGTGCCCAAAAAGTAGCAGAATAATAATAATACGTTAGAAGAAGAAGAAGAAGAAGAAGAAATATAGCTGCAAGCAGCGATTGCGGGCCCAAGCCGGTGGCAGTGCAACCCCGGCGCCTTTAGTTACCTAAAGGCACCGGGATGGCGGTACCGCCAGCTTTGGCCCTTCATCGCTGCTCGCAGCTATATTTAAGTATATTTAAGTATATATACAGTGCCCTCCACAATTATTGGCACCCCTGTTTAAGATGTGGTCGAGGACTTTTAAAAATTCTCCCTTTTTTTTAAACAACATAGAATCCAAATGCAAAAAAAAGAGAAAAATCCAACCTTTTATTTAAGTACATTACTTTGGTGGTAAAAAAAAAATTTAAAATTTAAAAAAATAAAAACTTCAAATCATGTGTCCCACAATTATTGGCACCCCTGATGTTAATACTTTGTACAACCCCCTTTTGCCAACAAGACAGCACTTAATCTCCTCCTATAACATTTCACAAGATTGAAGAACACAGAGAGAGGGATCTTTGACCATTCTTCTTTGCAAAATCTTTCTAGATCATCCAGTATCCTGGGCTCTCTCTTGTGCACTCTCCTCTTTAGCTCACCCCACAGGTTTTCGATTGGATTGAGGTCTGGGGACTGAGATGGCCATGGGAGGACCTTGAGTTTGTGACTGAACCATTTTTGTGTAGATTTTGCCACACGTTTTG